TGCAGTCACAGGTGGTGGACTTTTCCACAATACCCTTAAAAAACACGACAGTTCCCCAACCGTTTATTCCCCCTCTTTACGAGACAATTTGCATAAACTTTTATGACTTTCATCGTGTTTAAAACATTACCTTCAGCTGCAGCCCTTTAAATTTAAACGGGGGTGATTAAACGTGACGTCGTTTCTGTGACGCAATAAATAATTGCACGAGGAAAAAACACACACCTGACGGGGTTAACAGATGGAACAGAAACTACACTTTTACTGACCATTGTGCGTTATATATATTTATTTAGGTTCACCTTATAATAAAAAAAAATCGAGGGGATATATATACCACAGTACGATGCTGCCATCTAGCGACAGGATACAGGTATAGTTTTTAGACTAAAAACGTTACAAAATCCATCCTTGTTTACCATTTCATACACGTTTATTGATGCGAAATGTTCAGAAAGGTGAGTGTGAGTCAACCTGAAGAGAAATATAAATGACGAGTGTGCTGTGTTCAGAAAAAAACTAAGCAACTTGTGACATATTTTATCGTTAAAAAGTAGTGTTTTTATTTAAACACGCTGCAATAGCGAAATTTGAATATTGAAATATATGGATATTAACCTATAAATATTAATAAAAGTGAGACAACGCCGCAGAATAATAGTCACATGCTCATTAACATGGAAAATTCCAACACTGAATGACGTAATCAGACGACCTTACCATGTATTACTCTTGTCCACTGATAAATGCAGAAATATTTTCTTTTGGCAAAGACACATTGTTTCAATGAAAACAGCTACAACTGACGGCAGATGCAGATTGTTAGTATTATAACTGTGACAATAAGGTTAATATGACACTTGTATTATAAAGTTTATTCAAACATAGACAAGCCTGACGCCCTGTGGTGGTATGTGGTAGTGAAATAGCAACAGTTAATGTTGGTTTAAAAGTAGCTCGTTTTTTAGAGCATTTCTTTCCCATTAACCAGTATATTGTTTTAAAACTGCTAAATCGGGATTGTAAATGTTTTAGGGTTTTTTATAATTATATCATCCGTATGTCCGTTAGCTTTAACACTCACTACTTCTACTGTAATCATTTGACAGAGGAGTGGGTCTCTGGTGTAAGATTAACTGTGGTAAAAAAAAATAAAGTCTTCTTACTCATGTGACTGTGATAGCTAATTAATGGATGACTGTAGAAATTAGACTGCTGGTTAGGCTCTACATCATGGCGTCTATTTATAGAAGGGCCTTAGGAGGTCAGTGTGGAAGCAGCAAAGAAAAAAACGGATGGAAAACAAACTGAAGCAACAAATCAAAATAATTTAATAACCTGTTTCTGTTCATATATAACGCCGTAAATTAATTTAAAAAAAAATAACAAAATGATGGATTCTCATGTTTCATGAAACTGTCTTTATTTAAAAAACAATGCTTTTTTACCTCATTTTTCCATCTTTATTGTAAACATGTCTATTCTAAACAGTCAGCAGAATATTTTTAAAAATGTGTCCTTTTGTTTTCTTGTGGAAAAGACCATCAATGTGTGTCACTTCCAGCCAGTTCAAGTAAACAACCTTCTCTCAGCCTCTGCTGCAGTTCACTACAGCTGAGTGTAGGATGTTTACACCAACTGAGTCTGTTACCGAGGACGCAGGCGATGAAGGTACGGTGTCGTCAAAGGGTCGTGGACATCAATACGAGCAGATCCAAAAAAAAAACAAAAAAAAAAAAAATCAGAGAGCACACATTTGTCCGGTGCAGTGAGGCTGGAGGTCAGTCGGAGGCAGCAAACATCAGACTGAAAGCCCTACAGATAGACAGCTTCCAGTCGGGGATGTTTACAGCCTCAAACTACCTGAGGGCCGCAGGTTACGGTCAACGAGTAATGAAGAAACTGAAGTCTGACGTTCGGAAAAGCTGAGACGTACTTTGTCAAGTAGTCAAGATGTGGGCGTTTACCTGCAGGTGTCAACTTTATAGGGGCAGGTGACAGTTGGAAACACAAACAAAACATAATCACACGCAGTTGACAAGGTCACACATTGACTATTTGAGGAAGCCGACGATGACTTCAGAGAATCCATTCTTTGGGAACATTCTCCGGAGTCTCCTTCAACCTTGGGAAAACACCAGACGTCCTAATCAGCACCTGGGAACATGTGTATATAAGACACAGGTCAAAAAGGACATTTCTTTGTATGCACTTCCCTAGGCTGTCCATCGCTGACGGAAGAAGGAGAATTGAAACACACGCACACACTGTTGCCCTTGTGGGATAAGTCAGTGTGATGACAGTGGGAGAACCTGGTATAAGTGGCTTAGCATACTGATGTTGAGGCAGCCGCACAGTTACGACACACCAAGGTGATTAACTGGGAGCTGACTCTTTCTGTTATGTCTGTTTATTCACATAAACAGCAACGACTGCCATGTGTTCTCAGGCATTACAAGTCAGGTTAACCAACTTTTTCTGTATCCAGACCTTGAGCTTGAGTGCTTTGCAAACATTAACCTTGATGTGTCACATCAAGTCAAACAAGGGTTTAAAAGTGCACTCAGGTGCCACGCTGTGGTGACGTGCCCGCTTTTTGGACAGTGTGTAGCATAAAAATAACGGTGCAGACCTGTGAGTGAAGTCTCTTTAAAACACTGTTACTTTGTAACAAGGCCAGCTACAATGTCCTGTCCTGGCAACACAGCAACACTGGCAAAAAAGCTCAGTAACCTGGAGAAAACCCCCCAGTAATGCGCGATACACGCTTCAAATGAACATGCGAAACGTCAGGAGTAACTTTTCCTTGTTGTGTTGCTGATAATGTAATATACTAACTGTTAGCACCAGAGGCTGTTAGCCAGAGAGCTGAGCTACTGTTAGCCCCCTGCTACAGTTAGCCGCCGTTAGCTCCAGTGTGACCCTCACCTTCTGCTGTCTGACGTTCACTTACCGCACACTTAAACGCCGATTCTCGCACGGCATGACGTCCACGAGCTGTGCCGTGTGGAGTTTGGCCGGATTTGCCCGTGTTTTTGCTCTCTTCTGAACAGCCCGTTAAGTTTCCTTCCGTTTTCATTCACTTGTCTTTATTTTGACCTTTGGTTACTCGACACCAACATTGACGTCACTGTCATAGCAACCCAGCTCCGCCCACTCCGGTGCCTCTGGACACAGAGGGCAATAATTGCATTTACATTTTCCACATTTAGTCGTAAACTTATGCCCTTGAGCAGCTTCCGACAGCAAATGCACTGCTACTACATTTTTTTTAAATAAATATGCATGCAGCTAAACTATTCACCTCTCTCTTTATACATTTATATATAAATTTAATTTATTTTCAAGTACATTCAAGTATTATAATTAAAACATCGTTTTTAAAAACAACAAAACGCAGTAAAAAATATTTCCCATTATAAAAAAGAATGGCTGGTGTTTATTAGTATTGTCTCTGCAATGGACATGAATGAACATTTAGGTGAGCATATTTATAATTTTGTACAGTGCTAGTGATATACTTTAAGGTCTTTGGGGGGTTTCTTTGTATACACACGTATGCATATATACGTATCTTTTAACAAAGCTTTACCTGAGGGGAATGTTCCGTGAAACCAGATAAAGTTGTGTCATCTGTGAGTAACCAGCTGACGCTCAGTGCTCATTCTCATCTCACTGCCATGTCATCTGACTCAAAACCAACTTTGGCAAATACCTCCAAGCTCTCTGATCATGCTCCAGCTCATGTGTTCTGCTTGGAGCAGTCCCGGTCTTTCTACTAGTTTAGTACTTCTTCAAATTACATATTTGAAACAAAATGAGCCAATTTTTAATTAAAGTCAAACATAGAGTACTGTACCACTCCTATTCTAGAAACACTGTCTATATAATCTACATACTACTTTAAATACTTTCATTATTTCTTTATTGTTTTCCTCTCCTAATATCACTGAGTGTCTGTGAGGAAGATCACACTGCCTTGCTCAAGTACACGTCGAGTCTCTGACAGCAAGACAGGCAGCTGAACCCCTAAAGGTTATGAGAAAAATGCAGGGAAATAACCTAATAACTTTATCGCTCAAACTGTTATGACCAATTTTGTCCACACGAGGTCAGTCTTGTCGTATCTTTGCATTTATTTTATTAACCATTAACCAAAAAGTTATCTTTAAACGCGCCTTTCTACACGCATTAGTGTTCCAACGCTGAAATGCCTTTGATAATGTTTTTTTTTTTTTTTTTTTACCCTACATGAAAATGTTAAGGTGGCTCCCCAAATGGAAATTCTTGAATTCAAGGTCATAATGATATTCATTAGGGTTCCGTGGAACTCCTGTAGCCTTCAGTATTCAACACAGCTGAAGATTTCTTAATAATTGATATAACATATCTCAGTTATTTCTCATGAAAGGCCGGGCTGAAGAAAATCCATCTATAACCTAACCAGGGAAATTGATTCCCTTGTCATTCTGTGTGGTCTGAAATTGCCCAGAGCTATTATGAGAGAGACTGATTTTCTCTGTGCACTGTAGTGGAACATTCTCTCCTTGTACAGCTTTTTTTGAGATGTGAACAGATTCATAAGCGAGAGAGAGAAAGAGAGAGGGAGAGAGAGAGAGCGGTGCTAAGGAGCTGTGTTGTCACGTGACTCCTGGCAGATTTCCTAAACATGTTAAGCTCTGTGAGGCATGTTGTCTCTGATAAAAGATGAAATAATATTTAACAGTGCAGTGGAGCAGAGTGCCTGTAAACACGTGCAGTCCAGCAGTGTTGTCTATTCTTGAGACCAAAAACCGCCTCAGAACAAGATCACAGGATTCCAAAAATTCCTAATAATTAAAAATGCATATTATTGAACATAGTAGAATAAGTACTGTTTATAATATATTGGATTGGGTTTTCAGACTAATTTTATTCTATCACAAAAAAAGAGCAAAGCAAAATAACCGTTCACAATGATTAAAAAATATTTGGGGATCGACAAATAAATGTAATGTATTTTACATTAATATTTTCAGCGATTAATTTAGTATTCACAAATACAAGCCCCCTACTGGTCATCATCCCTGATCCTGTACAGCGTGGCCTTCCACTGACACACTCGTCGTTTCCTACTTCACAATACATCACACTCGTCCTCAAATGTTCCGTTCCCGTCGCTCGACTTTGGTTTTATGACAAGCAGTGACAGTAAAGTACTACGCTGACGTTCGCAGTATTCTCCCCTGAGGTAAAGAACCCGTTCTCTGAAACAGTGGCAGAACTCGATGCCCAGGCTGCTCCTCCGCCTGCTGTCCTGGGCCATTCATCCTCTGTGTTAAGTAAAGCAGGAGCTACTTATGTTATTTCACTCCATCAATAGCAAATACATTAACAGTATCTAGTCGCTGCAAGCACACTATTAATTTACCACGACCTGTCCCTACAGGGGCAAAATGATTGTTGGAGGCAACAAGGTATATCCGCTTACCCCTCCCTAGGAGACGGTGTCGCTGCTGGAGGGATCAATGTCCACCGAGTACGGAGGAAGACAGGGCAGGCAGGCAGGCGGCCAAGCAGCCGGGTGGAGGAAGCCCTCGACCTGAGCTCGAGTGACGCTGTCACCTAAGAGGTCCCAGCAGGCCTCGCAGAGACAGAGAGGGATGTGCCGCCTGATGCTGGAGCCATGTCCTTTCACAGAGAAACATGGGTCATCGTCCCTCAAAGGTTGAAGAGGGCAAGGGTAATAGATATCGCTAGCTCGGGTTTGTGACAGGAAGGATCCAGGCAGATGCTAACAGTTAACTGTCGCTCAGACGTCATTTAATGGCTTATTTATAGTTCTTATATTTTGTAAAAATTATAATACATACAGGAAGTTATTTTCTTTGTGATGAGTCAAATAAGAAAGATATATATGTAAATAAACAATCGCAAAAGAGTTAAACTACTTTGTGGTTGTTCATGTACATACAGTACATGTGAGTGTGTACTGTGGTGGAAATACTACATTCTGAATGCTCCTCATGACTCTTCTGGCCTCAGTTCAGATTGAAGGTCTAACTCATGGGTGTCAAACCCAAGGCCCGCGGGCCAAAAACGACCCGTAAGTGTGTTCAATCCGGCCCGCTTGATAAAGTCTCAGCATGTTGTGCAGTGGACAGCCGGAACGTGAGACAAAGCTCTGGAGGAAACGGATTTGACGGTGAAATCTCAGACAAGCAGGAAATTGCGTCTTTGATCAGTCCAATCACGAGGGACGACTCGGTCATGTCAAAATCATGGCTCAGGGAGTGTGTTCTGCACGCAGAGAGCAAACCGTGAATCAAAGGGAGAGGAGGCTCTCAGCTGTGTTGATGGGCGCAGTCAAACTCGATGCCATTTCATGGTAATCAATTTGGATTCTTTTATCTCCCCCGCTCGCTCAGCTGCTTTACTTCAAATCCTTCCCAACGCTTCTTTCCTGAAAAGTCACAATTCCCCTTCCCCACCGTGGGGCTCCCCGACTCGGGCCGTCTGGAGATGCTCCTGCACTTATCTTCTCCGTTGCTCCGCAGCGGCTTGAAATCCAGTGTGTGAAATGATATTTGAAGTGATTAAAGCCAGTCATTCAGCAGAGCTGACAGTTCAAATGCTGAGCATAAACCGCTTGTCCGGCTCTGATTGCCAGACAGGCATCCTGACAGTTGCCAGAGGAGTGGAAAAAAAAAAAACAAAAAAAAACGGGAGCACGCTCTCTGCTTTCACTCACCAAGACGCTGATGGTTTGATTGATCATGGTGGAAAAGGGAAGAGAGGGAGACGGAGCGAGACAGTAACAACTCTATGAAGCTTAATTGTTATTATACTTTTATATATTTTTCTTGCTATTTTTTCCTTGTTAAAAATCCCATAATTTGAATTACTAACAAGAACAGGTGTGAGACCCATACATCTACATGCTGTTATTAGTCTTTCTCTTCCAGAAATATACAGAAAATAAGCCTTCTGTCATAATTAGAAATGACAGTTCACCTTGATTAATTGTGATAAAATATGATTAATTGCAATTGTGAATAATCAAGATTTCACCTTGATTAATTGTGATAAAATATTATTAATTGCAATTGTGATTAATCAAGATTGATCTACAGCTACCTTTTGTTTGATCAGATTAAACATTTCAATCAATAACGTCCTGGGGATTTCTGAAAGAAAGTCTTTATAAAAAAATTCCCTGTCACCGTCTCCCAATGTGTTATTCATTTAGTCACAATTTCGTCCAATCAGGTGAGACTTCAGTCACAAGAGAGCTGTCAGTCAACCACTTAAGGTTTTTAATTAACCCTGTTATGACTGTTATGCACTGATTTAGTGATAGTCGTATTTAGTGGTAAATGACTCTCTCTCTCTGCTTGACTGACAGAAGGAGTCACTCCTGGTGTCACATGCAACTCCTTCTTTGTTTTCACTGACAGTCATTTAAATATTACTCTCACAGTTGAAGACGGCAGGGAGTTAATGAACCGGCAGGTCATTCCGTGCTGGATAAAAACCACAGTTGTTAAAAAGTCCAACAACCTGCTCTTCCTCGAAACTTTTGAGGCGATGAATAAAACCCGAAACCGAAAACTGCGGCTCCACCATGTCTGGTGTTTTTGTAAAGATTCCCATACGATTTGCCCTGCGTACGATGGGATGTATATCTGACATTTGCTGACACCTTTACACTTGTGTATATGAGGATCCATTTCAACACTAAATACCCCTCTCTACCACCTGGGTGGAAAAGAAAAGTGGTTTCCTTCTGCGCTCTCTGACAGATCTTGGAAATCCAACGCTGTCAAGCGATCTTTCCCCTTTTACCCACAGGCCCGAGCGCCTGTTGTGAACGTTTCTGCTTTAAAAGATAATTATCATTCCCCCACAATCTCCGCCTTTGTTAGCTGCCACTCAGCGCTGCTCCCCGTGTAATAAGCCGCTCTCATCCAGCTGCTGACAGGGATGTTTCCCACCAGCACGTGGACGAACGCTACACAATCACACCGACTGTTTGCCGCTTGGAAGAGAGCCAATTACCTGTCTTTCACCTGCGGCACCTCTGTCTGTTCTCTCTCTGTCATTTAAAAAGAGGCTAATGGAGGTTCATCTCCGCAGCAGCCTTTGTCAGTTTGGCATGTGTTGTTGTTTTTTTTTTCTACAATTCCTCAAC